GTCAGTCTTTTTGTTGTATTCTTTCAAAGTTACAAACCATCAAAAAGATGAAAACTGGTACTAGCCACCTTAATTTAGTTGTGTGGCCTTACTTATTCAAACTGAACAAAGATTAACTTGGAACCTTTACCACCAACGAAAGAATGATTGAAAATCTCATTAGTTTTATTGCTAACTTCTCAATATCATTTTGACAACAACGTTTGAGATGGTCTATGAACACTTGGTTTCTTCACCAACCAATTAACCTCTTTCTTTTCTTTTATTTGAACATTGAGAATTAGTATATACTAAAACAGTGGATAGCGTTGAAGGCGCGCTCTGATTGGCTAGTCAAACTCCGAATATCCTTTGCTATTTACCTCCGAGCAACTCGGGAAAAAATGGCGTCCCGGTTTGCATCCGTGACAAGCGAAGAAATCACTCAAATTAACGACGGTGGTGTATATTATCTCACTGTTTTAGTATATACTAAAACAACTATTCACCTCAGTGTCGGTGGTTGGCGGTGGATATTTACCTCGCCGCTTCGCGGCTCGGTAAATATCCACCACTAACCACCTCCACTTCGGTGAATAGTTGTTAATTATTCTAAATTTTTCGTGTACAAATTATAATTTTTGAAAATACTTAGAATGTATTCGCATTAAACTTATCCTATCCTCCGCAGTTGTGAAAATTTCCAGTTCTTAGCCACCTATGATCAAATTTAAATTCTGCTCGTTTTTCTTCCTTCAGAAAGGGATGTGGGTCATGTTTGCTCATAGCATCATATGTTTCCAGAAAGGAATTCATCATGCTCACTCTCTCCGCGAGTTTCAAGCATTCCTGAAAAAGGAATCAAAGGCCACTCTGGAACACAGTGAGTACCGAAAATGGTTCGGATTTTTATCACTAGTTTCGCGAAAAAAATTATAATTTTCGAAGATTTTCTGGAGCAAGGGGAGAAAGCCATATACTTATTTATGCAAGAACTGAGATAAAACGTGCGCTCTAATTGGTCGAATATGAATTTAGGTGAGAGCATGTCAATAAGTTTGATATTTTAATTTTTTGGCTTTTTTGGCAAATAATTTGTCGAGCAATAAGGGTTTTTCCTTTTCTGTGTTTACCTAGCCTCATTTAAACACGCAGAGACTTTGTTAATGCAAACACATAATATATATAACCGACAACATCAAAAAAGAAAAGCAAAGCGAAAGTAACAAATTACAAAACTGTCGGAAAAAATATCTTAATCATTTCTTCTGAGGAATTATTTTTCACGTGAGCAGAACATGTGCATCCATTTTGCATTTGGCCTCACTGAACTTTCTTTCCTCCAGACCTCCGCCGTCATGCATTGCACCCCACTGGGCAAGTGGTAAATAAGCAGTTTGTATATACTGACCGATTAGTAAGTGACTTGGAGTTCTGGATGGAGGTTGAACGCTTTAAAAATCAGGTGGATAATGCTGCCGCATGTGCGAGGTCTGGGAACTACACACTGGAAGATGAGAATCTACTTCTGGACAAAGCTCGCACTATTGTGAAGTGTTTCATAAATTCGGACTTTCCCCCAAGAATACAGGTTGGTTTTGAAGTAGAGTGGTGTGAACGATCCAAAGAAACCATTTATGGGACGAGTTGCTACAAGCTCTAAACGCTTACCTTTCCAGTTTGGGCAGAAAGAAACCCCTTTGGTTTATGCTTTGCATGAATCATGATACACCTCTTTTAGAAAAACCAGATGCAAAACATTATGTTTTTGTTTCCCAGCCTCGATGACCTAAATCATGTAAAAAAACATTTTAACCCATCAGACGCCGTTCGAAAGGGGTTCGAAAAATCCTCTCTGGTTTTAGACTTTTTTCTATCAAGGGAAAGGGCAATCATTCTGATCTTAATTTTTTTATCACAGATCAACATCACGCGCGATTTAGCGGAAAACATTGTGGGTTTGGTTCTAAATGGGATCGTAGAAAGAGGTTTGTTTCATGAGGCAGCTCTTCAGGTCTTCACTCCGCTCATCTTCTTGTGGAAAAAGTAAGTCTCCCAACGATTCGCTATTTTTAAATGGTTAACGTCAACTCTTAAATACTCTTCTTTTCGAGAATTTGTCTACACCAACGATAATTTGGGTAGTAAATTGCCTTTGTACAGTGCAACGCGAGTAACAAAACCAAAACTAAAACTTTGGGTTAAGTTTTTCGTGGAAATAGTTTTTCAACAATTGCGAACGAATGTGTGTGTATACAATGTCTACGGTATGAGCTGATGGACGCTTCCATTGACAGGAAGTCGTGAAGAGGATCAAATGTTTTAATATGTTGCGATCTATAAGACATCGGATAAATCATGCAAAGGTATAAAGGTTATAAATGTGCGTAACACTGTTTTATTTCTTCAGACATTCAGCAGAACTAATCTCCCAACCGACAAACGCACAGAAGTTTGCCACCCCTGTTAAAAGAGCTACTTCAAGAAAACGAATCATGTCGATAATCGGTGGAATGCCTTACAGAAAAATGTACGCAGCAAATGGTAAGGATAAACCATTTCTTAGTTTTAGAGTGCCAAGAAATAACAATGATAATAATATAGATGGAAACATTGCACGCGTCTGATTGGCTGAAAACGAGTGCATTTTTCATGCAACACGAGTGCAAATTACAAATGGCGCGCGTAGGCTGCCAACATTTCGTCTGTCTTGACTTTCTATAATACTTTCTTCATGTAAATTATAACAGGTAACAACAAGATTTCACGTGCAGTTTTGTGTGATAATGATGATGATGATAAACTGTATTCATGTGACAATGTATTTAGCACTAGTACATTTTACAAAGAATACAAATTACTCTCACCCCACGGGCTCGTGCAATGTTGTCATTAACATCATATTGCACTCGAAAATCGTGCCTTTACTTGCTGAAAAATTATTTTTGGAATGATGCCTAATGCACATCTGTTACGCCGCAGAGTGTAATAATCGCTGCAAAATGTAATACTGACGCAAAATGTGATAACAATCCCCGCAAAATGTAATACTTATGCAAAATGTAATAACATCGACGCAAAATGTAAAAAATCATATAGCGCAAAATGTAATAACTTTTCCAACGCATTATGTAACAACGCAAAATATAATAGCTTCTT